TACCATTAAAAAAGTGTTGAATAAGTTTGTCACGTGAAATAGTTGATTAAATAACATTTTTCAGTGTACGAAAAGATATTTTTTTTCTTCCACCTGTGTGCCTTACACCTGTGAAAAGTTTCATTTCAATTAACCATTGATTATACGTAACAAAATGAAAAGGTACATCGTTTGCAGTTTAAAACATACGATCATTACAATTTAATTCCTAAATTAATTACATTACACGTCGCAACAACACGTCCATGATTGTTTTTCCTCTTTACAGTATTAAAACTATCACCTTGCACAACTTCTCTAAGTTAACATTTAGTTCTTGCATGAAAGGACTTAAAGACAGTATATTTTCTTAGTATGTTTTTGCAACCGTTTGAAACACCCAACAAAATATAATTATAATTCAAACCATCAATACATGACAATAAAAGAAGGGTATTTAAATTTTCGCAGTTGGATTAAACGCGATTTAACCGTCTAAATCGTGAATTATTACCTTAAAATGAGTTCTAAATTGTATTTTTTCCTAAACTACACAGTAGTTATTACTTTTTAAACTAAATTGAATTTGCTAATAAACCATCTAGGCCTTAAAGACCAGTATATTTTCTTTGTATGTTTTTGCAAACGTTTGAAACACCCCAAAAAATAGAATTTTAATTCAAACCATCAATACATGACATGTATGTACAATAAAAGAAGGGTATTAAAATTTTCGCAGTTGGATTAAACGCGATTTAACCGTCTAAATCGTGAAATATTACCTTAAAATGAGTTCTAAATTGTATTTTTTCCTAAACTACACAGTAGTTATTACTTTTTAAAGTAAATTGAATTTGCTAATAAACAATCTATTTTTTTATATTAATAAAATTGTCCTAAGATGTTAACTGTCCAAGCAAATATTACTATATTCCGTTGAAATGTGAAGACACAAGCCAGACCATACAAAAAGATCTCATTCATTACAGTGTAAGCTCACTTTACAAAAAGTTACCTAAGATTAGTTCATTCCAAGTTTACTTATCTGTTCATACTCTTGACGTAAAGACCATAAGAACGCTGAGGTAAAGTCTAGCTATTACAGAAAGACATGAAAAAGGCAGATCACGTAGCGAAGTTACAAGAGAAAAGAGGCGAAGTTTAACGGGAAACAGAAGACAGGTCTAGAGGTAATTGAATGGCACAGGGCGAGTTGTAAAGAGAGTTGTTGGCAAGTTTGAGATCTGTGTAGACAACACACATTCACCCCCTCCACCACTGGTAGATAAGGGCTGAAAGTATGAAACTCAAAGCTGGAAACAGGGAGTACGTGGGAAATCTACAATAACTGTTATATCAACTCCACCACAAATAACTTATGTTTTTAAATTTATCAGCATCATAGTATTATTGACATTATTTTTAAAAGAGCATTACTACCAAGAAAGGTATTTTAAGCTGGGTAATGACTGAACAAAGAATGGACGGAAAGCAAAATACAAATTATGTCTAATAACACTTAAACGTTTATTTACACACACACTGTTAACTCACAAGACGGTAAATATGTATAAAAGATGGTAAGTGATGACCCATTTCGATTAGACACTCCAACCACCATCAGACCCAATGATGAATGACAAGAACCTCATCCCTACTTACAACTAGTATGCATAATGGAAAGTACTATTGACAAATGACTTATTTAAGCAGTTTTATAGCTAATTATCATCATTTATTAATATATCAGCATGCTATTGACTATCAGAAGTTCCAACCTAGAAGTATCTGTACGTACAATAAAAGTCGAAATTAACTTGCTCATTAACAATGAGTTATTAGCTTATTAATATTTTTACGTTTTTCCTATCGATGGCGATACGTTTGATGGCTTAGCCTAAATAAATACTAAACCCATCCTAGACTCCCACCCTATTCTCAAACAATAATTTCTTCTAATAAGGTTAATACTACGGTATTTAACAAAATATAATTATGTTTTGTGGCTATACCTATGTTTATTCAGCCCCAGGTTGTTGAGGCATTTCTGTTTATATATTCATTCATGCAAGTGAATCTCACTATTTAACAAACAACGAATAATCGTACAAATAAATTTTAGCCATTTTATCACCAAACAATATTACTCCATTAGGCTATCATTAAACTATATGATTTGAAAATTAAAATTTAGGAACCAAATACCTACGACATAATAAAAATTGTAATGTAAAATATTTTAAATAGAAGCAGAGTATCTTAGGATTCAAGAAGTAGAGTCAAACCAACCCCACCCAACCCCTTTGTTCATGCTTTTTAAAGCAATATTCAAATGAGTTCTCTACTGTTGGGAATATCGACGGTAAACAAATTTTTTGTAACAATAACTGATAAGTGTCCATCTAAAAGAAAAGATTAGTCACTTGAGATAACATGTACTTACACCCCTTTGAAAGAGATGTATCAGTAATCAGAAAAAACTACAGAATGATTCTTAAACACAAACCTCTTTGTAAACTCGGCCACAGCTTGGTATTATCTTTTCATCCGTGATGTATTATGTTTGACGTCCCATCTCTATTGTGTCTGCTCAGACAAGAGCGATCAATCAGTGTCTCGTCGCCGCTCTTTACATACAACACCCAATAAACCACCGATGATTGATGGCTTCTTGTCTCTCAGAATGACACAACGAAAATATCAGTTGATAGTTAATGAATAAAAAATAAAATAATATATTGAACAGCCTTAACACAGTATTCAAGTATATGATGGAAATGCCAGATGGTGTTTAAGGTAGGTTATGTAATGCTGAACCGGTTTTGAGCTATTGCAGCTTGTGTTTTAGTAGCTTAAAAAAGTTAAACGAAATAACATTATCTTTTTAATGTTTAAAACCATTATTAATTTTTGAATGCAATTGAATATGAGCTGAAATAACTCTAAAAGAAAATTTTCATCAGATATAAGAGATATTAAGAAATTTAATATGTAATTCATTAAACAAAATCGTCTGTGAATATTTCGTGGAAAGAATTGATACTATAATAAAGCTGAGTTTCGGCATCTTTTATTCATATTTAATGATAAATATGTATTTTTACAAGCTCCAACAATTGCGAATTATTTAGTAACAATTCGTTTTATAGTTATAGTAGAGGAAATTTTAGTAGATGAAGAAAAGTTTAGCTGTTGTAAAATGAGGAAATAAGGGGCTATGAATGTTTTTATCTTAGCTTGACGGTTCCAAATAGGATTTTAAAATACAGTGGCCATTTGCAAAATTTATCATAAATAACTCTACAAATTTATGGACTGTGGTTTTGAACATGTTTATTTTAAATGTATGACTAATGTTCACAAAAACTGCATAACAGGAGAATAATAAATACTATTTAATAAAATAAAAATGTTTGTTGAAAAGCACTTAACTGTATACATATTTTTACACAAATTACAATATTAAAACATGAATGTTCATAGAGTCAAATATCAAGGTTAATTTTAACTGGCAACAAATTATCATCAACTATCAAATATCATAACGTCACATATCTTACACACAACGACTACGGTAACGCCAAGTGTTGACATAATCACTGACTCGTCACCACAACAAGCCATCATCCATCAAGATGTCATAACGTCACATATATATTGTCTACCATAACCTCGTCATATTACAGTGTAATATCTCACACACAACGACAATGGTTACGCCAAGTGTTGACTTAATGACTGACTCGTCACCACAACTTGCCATCATCCATCAACATGTCATAACGTCACATATCTATTGTCTACCATACCTTCGTCATATTATAGTCTAATAACTCACACACAACGACAAAGGTTGAGCCAAGTATTGTATTATTGACTGACTCTTTACTATAGCAAGCCATCATCCATCAAGATGTCATAACATGAAATATCTATTGTCTACCATAACTTCCGTCATATTATAGTGTAATATCTCACACACAATGACAATGGTTACGACAAGTGTTGACTTAACGACTGACTCGTCACCACAACAAACCATCATCCATCAAGATGTCATAACGTCACATATCTATTGTCTACATAACTTTGTCATGTTATAGTGTAATATCTCACACACAGCAACAATAATTATACGATGACTTGACTTGATGACTGTCTCGTCACCACAACAAGCCATCAATTTATCATATTGCCACATATCTGCAGTCTACATTAGTATACGACATTTGATTGCTATATGTCTTGCACAACCAGAATTGATACATCCAGTATAGTGTTGACTTTATGACAGACCCGTTCCCTAAACATTCCACTATCATTCATCAAAACACCAACACGAAACATGCTTATGTCTACCATAATATTGTCATATAAAAGGCATCTTTTCTCATCTCATACATAACGACAGTTACTAATCCAAGTGTTAGCCTGAAATTCTTGTCACTAAATTAAACCAGAGTTCTTTGAGATGGCATAGCGTCACATATGTATTGATTGCTATAATCTTGTCAGGTTTACGTGTTTTAACTTATAAACAACAACAAAATATTCATAATCAGACTTGACATAGTTAATTACCCAACCATATTTTATAACGCCTATGTGATAATGCTAGGACTAGTTTCTAGTAATGTGTAAAACAGTTCCGGGTCCAAGAATATGAAGGTGGGATATAAAAAATCTCAACAACCAGCATACTACATTATGTTTAAGGTTTCCGCAACATTAAGTGATAGGTTTATCATTGTTATTTCATAAGATAGATAATTCAAATCACCTCATATAATTTCTACTAAATTCGCAAATCAGACTCAACTTCCGGGAAGGTCTTTTGATTTATACTGAAGTTTATTACAAAGACACCAAATTATATTTTTGTGATCATTCAGTATACGTTTCTACAAATTACCATTTAACATCGTTTTATTGATTTCCACTCACTGTTTCTTTATTTATTTGTTTTCGTGTTAAAGTAATGATCTTTCCTCTTGTTATTATTAACTTGTTGACTGTTTCAGATACAACTGTATGGCTTCAACGCAGAGTTGTACCACAACATGTCGGAGGCTCAACACAAGTCTCAAGGAATTGTGGGCATATCTCTCATGGTACAGGTCAGTAACTCTTGTTTTTGAAATTCAATGCTTATTTGCAAAAGGGAAAATTATATTTAATTCCACGAATGATAGAAAGGCCAAACACGTTAAGAGTGGAGATAGATTAAAGTACTATAAAAGTACAAATAGAGTATGAATATTTTTTTTTTTTTTTTTTGCGAAATCTTATACCAAAAAAACCTTTACTGTCAATTGAGACAGTATAAATTTTAATTATAAAATATGACGTTACCATATCTAGTTTCTCTTACCATTACTAGTGATTTCAGTTTTTTCAAATGAAATAATTATTTTTTGACGCACTGTCCATGCAATAATTGTTTTTGTAACAGTCATAATTTATTACCATAATTTTATCCAAATAATTTGTCTGATTTATGCATCTTGGTTGGTATTTGAGTGTATTTAAGTGGTAACTAAGCGAACGATGATTAAAAAACCCACAAGTTACACAACAACGAAATTATTTACACTTAAAGGGTTTGGTCCTTTAAAACAGTTTAAATATCATATTATTTGCAATAACTATACTGCATTTTACCTCATAAATACTTAAATTGCATGGAGCGTGTTTGCCTTATTAATACAACAAAATTCATTTACAAAAATAGATTGTGATTTGTTTTAGCTTCATACAAATACGCTAATACAAATCTCAATATCAATTAACGATTTTAAATAATAATTCTTCTGATGTTTAAGAATTACCTTTGATCCAGTAATTGTATAAATACAATAATTTATTTTTACAATCTACCACATTTAATGACAAGTTAAAACATAGAATTATACATCGTAAACTGAACTCTTAAATTATTAAAAATCCTGGTGTTATATTATTTATGGAGTTTTTAAATTGTAAATATAGACCAGAAATAATAATTAACAAATTATGAAATGCCTAATCTTCTACGTTATAAATAAGTATGAAAGTTTCATAAATTATATTTAGTTACCAAAGCTCTCAGAATAAATGTAATTAAAATGCAAAGGTAATTCAAGAGATCAGAAACATTCCCTTCCTTCTCGTAATGAATATTTAACGTCTTTAGACTTTTCTGTTTTAATCTGTTGAGTGCTCAAGTTGCAATTCTTCATCTTGATATCCTGAGTATTTTGCAGATTGGTGACATTAACCAGCCAAACTCTGACCTACGTATCATCACCAGCACGTTCAACAAGGTGTTGTATAAAGGTGAGAAACATTTGAATACATACATAACTATACGCTGTACAATGTATTTGTACAGATTTTGAATACATCAGTGGGTAAACTGCATGGAACAAGTTGGAGATGTCCACTGAAATTCACTATTACGACTCCCGTGCAATGAAAGTTTAATTTTCATGTTTAAGCTGCGTCCGTTAGTAGAAAAAAATATGGTTTGATTAAATTATACAACCAACAAAGTGTGTGAATTAAATTCGTTGGCTTTGAACCTTATAAAAGTGAAAGAACGTTTAATATTAACTTGCTTTAACCATGCTTCAGAACGGGGAGAAAAAAAATAGTAGTGCCCTCTGCTTTTGAACCGTATTACTTTTCAAAATTATTGTTCATGGAACCCAACGTAGTAATTCAGTTGAAATAGTGTCAAGATTGTTTGATTCATATTAAACACCACTTGTTCCCTTAATTTATATTGTGCATTCAAAAGCATTCATCTGTACAAACGTAAACAAATCTTTTCTCCATAAGGATAACATGGTCAATTTAAATACCATTAGGGCAAAGCCATGAAGGAATTTTCTAAATTGTATTTCTCACAAACACCCCTAGACACATACAGCAACTTCCTAAAGTTTCACGGTGATTGGATGAATGTTTTGGCAACGCATAAAGGGCAAACATACAATGGATTTGATGTATATAGTTGATGTACAATTTGTTAAAATGTAACATCACTTTTTTACTATTTATATAAAAACATTCTGTTAAATTGTATAATTTATTGGTATGTAGACTGATCGGGAATGAAAAAGGATCGGAAAAACACTGTTTACTTATGTGATTAAACTATATTTTAAGTCACGCTTTTTATTAAAAAATAATGGTTTAAATACCTTATACTGTCAAAAGTGATCCTTTGTAGTCTATGTAGGTGCAGTTTCATTCCCGGGGAAACTTAATCAGTTTTCGAAAGTGCGTAACGTGTTTTCCGGTACCGTCTTTTTGTAATGTTTGTGTTATTTTCACGAGTTCGTCCGTGATTTATGTAAATATGACTGATGGATTTTTACCGTGACGACTTCCTTCCCTCGGGAATGAAACTGCAGTAGCCTACATAGACTTCAATGGATCACTTTTGACAGTAAAAGGTATTTTAACCATCATTTATTACTATACCAGTGATCCGGAGGCTAACAACATGAAGCTTTTTATTTACGCTTAATAATACATAAGTATAATGCTATATACTTCATCTTAATAAACTTTAACATTATATCAAACTATTTGGCCGTATTAGTAGTGTGAATAACGTTTATAGGTATCAGTATCACTCCGCCAACGCAATAATAAATTTCATTGTACGTACTGAAATTTTCCATTGTTCTGAATGTCAGTAAATGGATAGTCGTTGCAGTAACATATACGATGAAACACGATATCAAACGAAAGAAAAATGTAATGAGGGTGATATGATGAAATATTAATGGATCAGATCTATGTTTTCCGTCAATAGGTTTACCAAAGGAAATTGCACAGAAGTTGTCCTTAACTTACTCTAGTGATAAAAAGAAGTACTAAAGTAGTTTTGAACCGCGTTTTCGTTGCAACGTTTAAAAGAAATTATTATGAGATCTTTGCACACCGACAACAAACACGTTGTTAGAACATTTTTGCACTACATTGTTTCTAATAGTACTCCTACCATATGTTCACCATTTAGTTTTACCCAGTCGACATTCTTATGCCATGACAGTTGAGTCCCGGGTATATAATATAGGCGAGCTAAGCTGTAACGGTCGACATCGCCATTTCCTCGGACAGTAACGACGCAAATGTTCTGCTCGGGACACTCTAGATCCCCGTTAACCTCTATCACCCCGCCCTAGACTACTGTTCCGTTTTATTCTCTTGGTAGTTGTTTAATTTTCGTCCACCACATTCCTGAAGAAACAATCTGTGGCCAACAGCTGTCAGATTGTTGTAAAATATATTTAACAAATTCAATCAGATTAAAAAACCTGAAAGTTTTCTATAAATAATTATTGTTCATTATTGACCAGAGTTGTGATTAGTTCACAAAGCGGATTGATACATTTGTAACGGTTGACATATTCTAAGTAGACGGGTTGATGAGGTTATGCTCAAATAAGTCACTACACATAGACAGTTATTAATTATTACTCACAAAAGCTATGAGAGTAATTAAACCGATTTTATTGCAATTTCATTTTGAAATGTGTCGTCGAGATAAGAAATTTGTTTTTCTTATCTTGATAGTGGAATCATTTTAGTGTTGAACCCCAACAGAATTGCAACACGAGCAATTTTTTTTTTAAATGATAGCTAAGAGTGCCCTTAATAAGCCCACAAAAATCGCTATTAATCGTACCTTGGCAACATGCCCTAAAATTCAAAATGGCCGCCAAGATGGCTGCCAAATTATATATTTTGGCATATATCTCGAGAACGGTTAGTTTGATCAAAAACATTAATTTAGCAAATATGTAGCTCTTTTCATGCCGATCAGTTGTTATATATGCATTTTGTCTGTCAGACGTATGGCATGGCCACAATTTGAAGAGCCGTACTTCATTATAATCTGCCTTTTTCAAAAAAATTCAGAAATTTCATTTTTTGACGGCTTAATGTTAGAAAATACAAATTGTACCTCAAAATAATTTTAAAGTTGTTTGCCATGTGGTTTCCTACTTATTTTTAGTTTTTACACAGTCGCTTTCTTTCCTTTAGTCTTACAGAGTCGCTGACAGCTTCTTATTTTACTTATCTATTGGTGTAATATTACAACAAATTACAACTTGCTATTCAGAAGTGACAAACGACTTTCAGATCATGTTTATACCATTAAAAAAATTAGATCCTCACTTCGAGAAGATTTAGCTAAATCTCTATTAGCTCTGCACGCCTATACAGGGTGCGACACTACTTCGAGGATTTTTCACATCGGAAAACTATCTGTATTCAACAGAACATTAGAAGACGAGTATTTTCAGGGTCTGATGTCATCTTTCAGCTCACAAAATCTGAGTCCAGATCAAGTTGAAGAAATCGGTCTGAAACTAATGGTTAGTCTGTTCAATGGGAATAAGAACGAATCAATGAACACATGTAGATACAAAAGTATTTTGTCAAAATTAAAAAAAAAAGCTAAAAGCTTTGAAAAGCCTCAGCAACTTCCTTCAACAGAGTCAGCAGTAAAGTTTCACAGTCTGCGTGCCTATTTACAAATTCAAATATGGAAAAGGGCAGAAGATAGTATGATAACTACAGACTGATGATGGACTTTGCAGGACAACATGTATGTGCCCCAAACGATGGATTTGCCAGCAACACCAGAGACATTGTTAAAAATGATTAGATGCAATTGCAAGACTGCTTGTAATTCAATGAGATGTGTGTGTAAAAAAATGGATTTAACTGCACTATTTCCTGTGGTCATTGTTTAGAAAACAATAGTGAAAACAGTTTCCAGTTTTCATTGGACAAAGAAAAGACGATGAGATTAGTATTTTTGAAAATGTTGACTTAACTTTTAAATCATTTGGCAAAATTATGTTAACACAATGGTAAAACTACGTTTATATGTTCATGTTATACATATTGTATGTAGGGATCTTTTTTTGGTAGTATTGAATAAAATTGTATGATTTAAATAACATATATTTTTTTATTACATATCCATATCCTGGCTTCTTACTTATCCCTTAAAATGGGAGATTATTTAAATCATGCAAAAAAATTGTTCATAATCATAAAATCCCAAGTAAAACTGAAAATAAGTAGGAAACCACATAGCAAACAACTTTTAAATTATTTTGACGTACAATTTGTATTTTCTAACATTAAGTCATAAAAAAATGAAAATTTTGAATTTTTTTGAAAAAGGCAGATTATAATGAAGTACGGCTCTTCAATTGCGGCCATACCATAGGTCTGACAGACAAAATGCATACATAAAAACTGATTGGCAGTAAAAGAGCTACATATTTGCTAAAATAACGTTTTTGATAAAACTAACCGTTTTCGAGATATATGCCAAAATATATATTTTGGCATCCCTCTTGGCGGCCATTTTGAATTTTTGGGCTTGTTGCCAAGGTACGATTGATGGCGATTTTAGAGGGGTTATTAAAGACACTCATAGCTATCATTACCAAAAAAATTGCTTGTGTTGCAATTTTGTTGGGGTTAGGTCAAATTTTCTCATAAAATGATTCCACTATGATTAATCAATCAGTTTTTTGGCCAACCACCGACCCTAAGGAATTTACTGAATAGTTTTATAGTTTATATTTTGTTTAATCATTCATACCATTATATGGATTCTATTTACTCTTTATTATTCTATAAAGATGCATGGTTAGTGGTATCCTTAATTTGTATATTTATAGTGCCAAGTTAATTTAGGTGAGATATTTAACTACTAGTCCCGAAAGTAATCGGTTTCGTGTCAAAATTCTCTACAAAGTGTCCTCGTATTTACAGTTTTTTTGTAAATCCGTTTGAATAAATATTTTAGATTAAGTGTTTGAACAGCATATCACGTAGTAATAGAAAGATCAATTACATTAGCGTTCCTCTTTATCTAATTGGGAAATTTCGTACCATCATGGCACAGTCCGTTCTTAAGCATTAAATTTAATCTATTAGGGCTATAAAATAATTTATTACTGACTCATTTTAATCTCATATTGTTTTTGTTGTTAAGCACCAACACATACTGAATATAATTTACAACTGACCATTGTAGTATGTAGTCTAGTTCAACACACATCCATATTCATAAGCACCCTTGCACGCATATAGGCGACACACTTTAAAGCATTATGGACATACTTCCAGTATACACGAAGAAAAGAGGTAATTTGTAATCGTTCAAAGTAATAGTCGATTTTAAAAGAAAATAATCTATAATTAAAATAGTCACGGTAGATAGGGCGATACTAAATTATTTTATTACTGTAGGATCATCGATGCCGATCCGCTACCTGTCTCTACACAGTCTTCTTCCTGACACGACTCACTATATGACGTACGAGGGATCCACGACCCATCCTGGATGTTGGGAAACTACTGTGTGGATCATCATCAACAAACCTGTCTACATCACCAAGCAAGAGGTAAAATAAACACGAAGGACCTGATAATAAGGGTTAAAGTAGATTGTTAGGCTTTTCAGTCAAGTAGACTGGACGCAGTAGGAGGCAAGAACATTTGTGGAATAACCTATGTTTTAGATTTTCAATATTAATAGATTTTCAATATTAATAGAGGTAATAGATTTTCTGAAAAATAGGATGATATTTTTGACCCTATACACCTGACAATATAAAAATGGTGCTCTCTCGGTGAAGACAATCTGTTGGCAACTAAATTTAACATCTATAACTGTGTCTATAAATACAGTATACTGCATTGCATCTGTATCTTGAAATCTTGAATTTTGAAGTCAAGGATTAGAGGTTAACTGAGTTCAATAACCCTACTGTACTTCTATAAAATACTGTTTTCTGCCGTACATGTACATGTTTTCTTAAGTGATACCATACTAATGATAACAGAACTACAGCTCTACTCGCCTTTGGCTCGAATGTCGACGAATGTTTTGTTTTAACGCCATATAGATGTTGGCACTCACCGATATAATAGTCTTTATCACCATCCAAAATTTGAAAACGATTGATTCAGCCGTCTAGGAGGAGTTTGCGTATTACGAAATGTATAAAAGTCGACGTATAAGAGCTTCGCTCGCTTTGCTCACTCCGCTCAAAATGAACGATTTGGTTTAAAAAGAATGCAGATCGTATATTTGAAACTCGCCCCGGGCCCCCTAGCTGTTAGTCGTCATTAGCTGCGGGATGAAGGGGCGTGATTGTCGTCATTAGCAGATTAGAGTAAAGTTGTAACAAAGCAAGATGTGAAACCGTCAATATTAAATTATATAAAAACAATTTCACAAATATATTAGAGGAGGTTGGTAAGTTAACTTCGAGCTCGACCTTAAAGAACTTCAATAGAAGTCGAAAAACACTTCGGAATAGAAAATAAAACGCTTTCGTTTAGCTTATACAGCTTCGTTAGATGGGGAGCAAGAAAAATCTATGGATGAAGGAAGTTCTTGAGTAGTGTAAGGGATGAAACTTATACGCATTATAAAAAATATTTGTAAATAAATAATAGTTTTTAATATCCTACCTGTTTTTCGCAAATATTTCTTGTTTATTTATGTTCGCAGATAATTGAAGCGTTGAATTTGAATATGGCACGTATAGAAAAGTGGACTTATTGACTTATTCTTTGTCAATTTCAAGTACGTTTTGATGTGTTAAAATATTTGTTGCATTGGAGTGGGATGGTATTAATTGCCTGCCACTTTTTCTAGAATAGATTTTCAGCTGTCGCTTCTTTTAATGAAAATACTAGAGGTAATAGTTTAGAAAAATATAAATTGCTTAACAAGTGTACCATAAGTAAGTACGTAAATGGAAGAATAGGTAAAATGGGGGAAAATATAAAAAATAAGAAAATTATTTCATTCTTTTTAGAGCGTTTGAAGTTGGTTGTTTTTTTTTACAAAAATAAATAATTTCATGATTTTTAGTGACTATAATTTGTTATATTTTATTTACTTAAGTTATTAAGTTTCTTTTTTATAAAAATTGTTTGCAGCGATCAAAAATATCACAGAAAAATTATTATTATTTTAAAACTGCTTGAGTTACCTGATCAGGTTACATAATCAATGGTTATAAAAATGAACATTTTAATGTTTTGGTAAAACAGGTGTTGAATTGGAGTTGTCAGAAATAAAGCTTTTAAAATCATTAATGTTTGTTGTTAAATATTGTGTAGTATAAACAATGTGAAATAAGTGCCCGGCAACATGTGTCGCGACCGTTTTAGTGTCCAGGCAGTCGGGGGGCAATTGCAGTATATGGAGCCAACTAGCCGTGGACAACATGCGACGCCACTGACTGCTCACGCATGCGTTAAAAACGTGAAAACGGAGCATGCCACACAGTCTACATCGTGGTTTGAGTCGATTGAGACGTGCATCGGCTATATTGTTGGTCTATTGATTAGTTACTTCTGTTCATTTTGTTTACCAGTGACCTTTTTAAAAGTGTATTCATTCCTTTTTGTGTCATTCATTAGCGTTTTTAGTTGTCTTTAGTTTTGAAAAGAACAATGTCTAGTGCCAATAGTGACGTGGTAATTGTGGATGCAGTAGAAGAAATCGCAACGCTTTTTTTAACAGGAAAACAAGAAGAAGGAGCTCCGAACTGCCCAAAGTCATGTTTGACACTAGAGTGTTGTGGTGAATTCCACGGTTTGAGCGAGCTACGAATGTGTCGGTCGCGCGACTAGTGTCCAGGTTCCAAAACGCTGTTGGCCACCGACGCCTCCACCGGCGGCTCCTCTAGCTGCGCCATATGTTGCTCACGGCTAATAGGGGCCTAAGATCTCCCTGATGGACTCCCTGATGGATCTCCCGTGGAATTCACCACAACACTCTAGTGTCAAACATGACTTTGGGCAGCTCGGAGCTCCTTCTTCTTGTTCTCCTGTTAAAAAAAGCGTTGCGATTTCTTCTACTGCATCCACAATTACCACGTCACTATTGGCACTAGACATTGTTCTTTTCAAAACTAAAGACAACTAAAAACGCTAATAAATGACACAAAAAGGAATGAATACACTTTTAAAAAGCACCCAGCAGCAACACAATAGTGATCCATAACACACAGTTTAATCGAATAACAAGTATAGATCGCAAAATTCGGAAATATAATAGTCCAAATAGGAGTGAAATTTGGTAGCGAAAATAAGAGCGAGAACCAACTCATTACACTGCATTAGCGACTTGTGTGTACTGCTTTACCAAAAATCCACCATTTTAAATCTTTTTAAGGGTTGAAAGTTTATTTATGTGTATTAGGGTGTTTTTCTTTCAGCATAAAAAATTAGGAGAAAAAAATTAAAACTTTATTTCCGGAAATTAAACAAAATACCCCCGCCGCAGCAAACCTGCCGTCTAAGCGAATTTCCATTTGGCTGAATTGATTTTCAATCGATCTATTTAAATAACATTAGGTTTAACGAGTACCTAGGTTTGCTGCTACAAGGGAACCAATAAAGTGTGTGTTTTAAGTAAAATAATTATTGCTTAGTATAAAATGAATATATTTGCCAAGTTTGATCAAAAGATATCCATAAAAAAGCAAACTACAACATTTTACAATATTCTCCATAAGAATAACATAGGAATTTCAAATTTACAATTTTTAGTTTTCTCCGTAACCAATAACCGTACAAAAACACTTTGATATACTGAATGGTTAGTTTTTTTAAGCTCTTTAAGAAGGTTTAGAGAAAAATTGGGAAATGTTGTGTTTTGAGGGTCAAAAGTGAGAAAAACCAATTTTTACCCCATTAAACCCTGTTCCCATGGTCCGATCATGCTGGATCGCGAACTCATTCAAGTTTATCCCGCCTTACACCTTCAAACCAAATTTCATCAAAATCGGATAAAAATTACTCAAGTTATCGTGTTCACGGACACACATATACAGACTGTCCCAAAAGTCCCGGACCGAATTAATATTTTCTAAACGACAACAGATAAATCAATAAGATTTGGTACATCAACACCACACCTAAAAATCTACTTTTTTATGGAAATATAAATTTTCTGTCACATCATGGGGACGTCCCGCAAGGAGTCAGAAGGAAATCTTAAATAGAAGCATAGGTTGACATGTACATCAAATTAAAAGTCTTTACTAGCAGAATATAATGCTGCAAATTTGAACTCAAACGGACAACCAAGTCAAGAATGAGAGTGGTTCAAAGATTCATTTAATTTGCATTTGGGGGCACAGCCCTAGGAATCGGAAAATTTTTTTAACGTAAGCATAGGTCGATATGCACATCAAATTAAAGGTCTTCACTAGTAGATTACAATGCCGTAAATTCAAGCTCAAAAGAACGCCTGAGTACAAAATGGCAGTCGTTCAAAGATTCAAAATGGCAGGTTCAAGAAATCTTTGAACGGCCGCCATTTTGTAACGGGTGATCCTTTCGAGGCGCGGTTTCCGGCATTGAACTCTGCTAGCTGAACCCTTTAAACTGATGTGCATATTGACCTATGCTCCTATTTAAAATTTCCTTCTGACTCCTCGTGGGACGTTCCCATGATATGACAGAAAATTGATAGTTCCTTAAAAAAGTAGATTTTTAAGTGTGGTGTTGATGTGCAAAATCTTATTGATTTATCTGTTGTCGTTTAGAAAATATTAAACCGGTCCGGGACTTTTGGGACAGTCTGTATATATAAATCTATATATATATATATACAGGGTGTCTCACGAGAGGTGTCTCAAATCGATTACGGAAAAACGGCTTAACGTACAAGGATGAAATAAAATTATTTCCCGCTAAATCGACCCCAAGGAATAACGTAAAAATATTTTTAACTTTTTCCCAATACAGGGTGTGCCAAAAACTGAGGGTCACTAGTTCGAATCTCGGAATTTTTTAATGTAAACATATGTCATGTTATACATCATTTTAAAGGTATTTGATAGACAAACATTTTGGCGAAAACAGAAATTATTTATCTTTTTCCGTTTCAAAATGGCGGCAGTGTTTTTGGAAAAAATCTATATTTTTTTAATACTCTGTGTTTCCTATACCAATGCATTTATCCCTTCTCCGGTTAAATTTTCTTACTCGTCATGCAATTAGCTTTACTTTAATATGCTACAAGTAACGGTTTTTTGAAATTATAAAAATTCCAAAAAAATATTTTTTGAAAATTTGCAAATGCTCATTTTTCAAAAATTTCAAATTGCAACATATGTCAAGTGGCACATCATTTTATAGGTTTTTTAATTCCTAACAACTTTGTAATTTACACTTACTTCATATCTCTTTTAGTTTTTGCGTAAATAACAAAAAACCTAATTTTCCTATATCAAATGCTTGTTATTTGGGTTTAACACTAAAGGCCAAATTTGATGAAGTGTTAAACCACGTCAAACCCAAATATAAAAACTGGAACTAATGGTGTTTTTGGCCTCTGGGGACATCAAAATGAAAAAGTAAATCGGTCCCGAGCCTAAGTCTTACCATGAGACCTACAGTAATAGCTGATTCCCTATAGGGAAATTCGCTAAAAACACGTAAAAAATCGATAATTTTTTACAATTTTTGGAAGTAGGACGTTTTTTTTAGGTAAAGGAGTGCGATTTTTGAAAAACGCCTAAGACTATATTGTAGAGGGACCGTGAAAATGATTTAAAATCTTCTCTATCTCTTACCGTGTTCGAGCTATAGCTGTTTGAAAAAAACGTGTTTTGTCGTTTTCAGAGGTCCGCCATTTTGGATTTTTTTTTTTGGGGGGGGGGGGTTAAAATTTGAAAATGGGACTTTTGCAAATTTCCCCGTTAATTTAAGATACCATACTACGTTACAACCAAATTTCATGTCTCTAGCACGTTTCTGAACGATTCAGATGACCATAACAAAGTCATTAAATTTCAATGTTATTCTCCATAAGAATAACATGGGGCTCGTAAAAACTTTCAAATTTTGACGTTAAAATTAAGTTTTGGGGGTCAAGGAGTAAAGTTACGAAAAAACATGAAATGAGTAAAATTTAAGGTAAAGAAAGGAGAATACAACTCAATAATAATATTTGCAAAAATTAATAATTTAAATATAAAAAATAGCGAAAACCGGTATAAATATGAAAGAAATTTACCAAATTTTGAAAGTAGGGCGTATTTTGAAGCTGAAGGTGTGCGATTTTCGGAAAACGCCTAAAAAATTTTGTCGAAAATTTAATTCCCGTTCATGAAAATTCTTTCAAATCTTTTCTATCTCTTACCGTGTTCGAGCTATAGCTGTTTGTAAAAAACGTGTTTTGTCGATTTCAGAGGTCCGCCATTTTGGATTTTTTTTTTTGGGGGGGGGGGGTTAAAATTTGAAAATGGGACTTTTGCAAATTTCCCCGTTAATTTAAGATACCATACTACGTTGCAACCAAATGTCAAGTCTCTAGCACGTTATAGCACGTTTCTAAACGATTCAGATGACCATAACAAAGTCATTAAATTTCAATGTCATCTATATACAGGGTGTTTTTTTTTTAACTTGCATCTTTATTTATGTAAAAACCGCAATAGATAGAAATATGCAGTGTGTTTTTTTTTTAAACTTGCATCTTTATTTATGTAAAAACCGCAATAGATAGAAATATGCAGTTTGCGGGAATCATCTATTGACGTAGGGGCCCAATTGTTTTAAATTCAACGTTACATTCAAATTCCCCAACTTTCCCCCCCCCTGCCCCCAACTTAATTTTTTTAAATAGCAAGGTACCCCTTGTGACATATAAAATGAAAGAGCATAAAAAAGAAAATGTTTGATGAAAAAAAATTGAAAATCGGTTCATAAATTTGCGAGATATTTCCCCCCCCTTCCCCGGAACTTAATTTTTTTTAATAGCAAGGTACCCCTTGTGACATATCAAATGAAAGAGCATGAAAAAAAATGTTTGGTGAAATTTATTTTTCATTTGATATGTCACAAGGGCGGGTACCTTGCTATTAAAAACAAGTTATGGGTAGGGGAAAAGGGGGGGATTATCTCACAAATTCATAAGCCGATTTTAAATTTTTTTTCACCAAAAATTTTCTATTTTCATGCTTTTTCATTTGATATGCTACAAGGGGTACCTTGCTTTAAAAAAAATTAAGTTCCGGGGGGGAGGAGGGGGGAATATCTCACAAATTTATGAACAGATTTTCAATTTTTTTTCATCAAACATTTTCTTTTTTCATGTTCTTTTATTTGATATGTCACAAGGGGTACCTTGCTATTTAAAAAAAATAAGTTGGTGGCAGGGGGGAAAGGGGGGGAATGTGAATGTTACGTTGAATTAAAGAAAAATGTGCCCCATACGCCAATAGATGATTCCCGCCAACAGCATATTTCTATCTATTGCAGTTTTTCATAAATAAAGATGCAAGTTAAAAAAAAAAAAACACCCTGTATATAAAAGGCAAAGCCCTCACTGTCTGACTCACTCACTCACTCAATCATCACTAATTCTCCCACTCCCCATTTACCTAGAATGCTAAAATTCGGTACACTGATTTTTTAGGTATTAAATAGAAAAACTAAGCTGTTTTTATTCTGATCGGACTCTCGGGCTCCGCCCCAGTGGCTCTGGAGTTTCCTATTATAACCTTATGAGTACTCATATTTAAATGGAATTAATGAATCTTAACAGCTGTTTCAATTAAACAAGTTGGTTCTGTTCTATGATGTTAATACTTTAATACTTTTCTTTGAAATGGCGACCATACAAAGTAGGTATTTTAAGCCAAGTATGAATGGAGATGAGTGTATGATGAGATGTTCAATAGCATTCAAGTTACAAGGATTACCAACAGGGTGCAGCACTATTACTTTTTTTTATTTATGACAACAGCTAATTTGCAATCAAAAGGTGAGTGAGCGTAGCGAACGAACTTCAACCTCGAGGCGAGTTAGCGTAGCGAACGAGCTAACCTAAAGGCAAGTGAGCGCAGCGAACGAGCTCCAACCCAAAGGTGAGGGAGCGTAGCGAACGAACTTCAACCAGGACGTTATTAAACCATGCGAACGAGCTCACTTATGAAGTAAAACGGGGCAAAGCCCGCGGGTACAGCTAGTTCTCTATAAGAATAACATGGGGCTCGTAAAAACTTTCAAATTTTGACATTAAAATTAAGTTTTGGGGGGTCAAGGAGTAAAGTTACGAAAAAACATGTAAAGAGTAAAATGTAAGGTAAAGAAAGAAGAATACAAAAAAATAATAATATTTGCAAAAATTAATAATTTAAGTATAAAAAAATAGCGAAAACCGGTATAAATAGGAAAGAGATTTACCAAATTTTGAAAGTAGGGCGTTTTTTAAAGGATAAGGAGTGCGGTTTTCGAAAAACGCATAATAGTGTCTTGTAGGAAATTTCATTCCGAACCTACGATTTTTCCTCAAATCGTTTCTAGCTCTTAACGTTTTCGAGCTATAGCCGTTTAAAAAAAATCGTGTTTTGTCGTTTTCAGAGGTCAGCCATTTTGGATTTTTGGGGGGGTTAAAATTTAAAAACGGGACTTTTGCGAATTTCCCCGTTAATTTAAGATACGATACTACGTTACTACCAAATTTCAAGTCTCTAGCACGTTTCTAAGCCGTTCAGATCAGCACACGAAATTCAGTATTTTTCAATGTTATTTTCCATAAGAATAACATGGGGGGAAATACGATATTTCGGGGGGGTTAAAATTTAAAATCGTGACTTTTTGGAATTTTTCTGGGGGTTTGGGCACTAGACCTACAACCACCCCAAATTTCGGTACAATTTAAAATCTGCTTGTTAGCTACTTAAATAAGTATTTGAGATTGTTGTCAATGACGGTTTTGTCTTGGGCAGATGTACGCCCTGCGGAAGCTGATGCAAGGCAGTCAGGATATTCCTAAAGCTCCTCTTGGCAACAACGCTCGTCCACTGCAACCACTTCATCATCGCACCGTCCGTACCAACATTGACTTCCAAAACGTCGACAATGCCTTGGTAATTGCAACTATTTATACCATAGTTTATATTTAGATTTTCCTTCTAAGGTTATTATCCTAATGGATCACCTGAAGACAATTTTAAAGTAATTTTAAAACTTGTAAGTGCTAATTTATACTGTATAGTATTTATTTTTCGTTATCTACCAACTTCAAAGTTGTTTACCCAAACAGGATAATTTATTGGTAAACTGTTTTGATATCAGTTGATGTTATAACTTGAGAGTAAGGCACATGCTGTAAAATGTATCCTTAAATATCAGAGAAACTATCAGTCGACATCAACATGGGCTTACTTACTTGCTAACGCACATCCAGTTAGTCAAAGGGACTTGTCTACTTACAATAGGATAAAATGTTCATGTTTATGTCTAACTTTCAAGTAAAGGCTTAAGTGGTGGTAGAAGAAATTTGTAATCTGCTAGTTTAAAACATACAATGAACAATCAATTCAAATACACCCTGATGATTTTATTTTTTATTCCAGGGCAAAAGCTGTCCAGTCAGTATGAAGAAGGAAATGTACTACAAAGGTAACTCGAGGAACTCTTCCTTCATTATAAACTTCATAACTTAAATGTAAATGTAAACTTTTAAAATATAATACTAAACAAACCATTTTAAAATAAAACAAAATAACAACATTTCCAATGATTGCGCTTTAAAATATTTTGCGATGGCGAACAATAATATAGAGTACGCAAAAGGATGTAGTAAAAATCTTGAAATTTTAACAAGTAATTTATCAATTTTCTTTGTAGTTGAAAAATCATAGGTAGTATAAAAGGTATTTGAAAAATCTTTGAAATTTATCAATTTATCAATTTTCTTTGTAGTTGAAAAATCATTGGTAGTATAAAAGGTATTTGAAAAATCTTTGAAAAATAAATAGTAATAAAAATAATAAAACGTGTTACTGTAGTTTAACCTATTAAGACATAAGTAACGGTTAAAAAGATTAATCATCAAATATAATAATGCGTGGAGTAGGGAAGCGAAGATTTTTAACTTGTTAACTAGCAATTTACATAGTCTGATGTAGCCTCACTTTCCCTTATTTCTAAGACACGCTATGTGACTTATTATATGAACTCAAGATTCTTAGTCACTAAACCTGGGAAGAAAAATAAGAATCTGCTATATTTAACTGTATTGAAAAAATAAAACTTATCATGAAAGGTGAGTATAAACATACCGCAAGTGTAGCTCTTTACTAAGATTGATTAATTTATTTTATTTTATATTAATCTTGTAATTACAATGCAGTGAAACATGCCGGACGCTCAGTTCCTCCAGTTGTAGACCTCGTGTTGTGTGCTGAAGCTGCCAGTAGTCCTATGTAGATAGGTTCAGCTACTATAATATATAATATGTAATTGTGTTGCAGCTAACCAGTGGAGAAACATGCCGGACGCTCAGTTCCTCCAGTTGTAGACCTCGTTCTGTGTGCTGTAGTTGCCAGAAGCCCTGTGTAGCTAGCTTCAGCTTCAATAATGTATGTTCAATTGTGTTGCAGCTAACCAGTGGAGAAACATGCCGGACGCTCAGTTCCTCCAGTTGTAGACCTCGTCATGTGTGCTGTAGTTGCCAGAAACCCTGTGTAGATAGCTTCAGCTTCAATAATGTATGTTCAATTGTGTTGCAGCTAACCAGTGGAGAAACATGCCGGACGCTCAGTTCCTCCAGTTGTAGACCTCGTCCTGTGTGCTGTAGTTGCCAGAAGCCCTGTGTAGATAGCTTCAGCTTCAATAATGTATGTTCAATTGTGTTGCAGCTAACCAGTGGAGAAACATGCCGGATGCTCAGTTCCTCCAGTTGTAGACCTCGTCCTGTGTGCTGTAGTTGCCAGAAGCCCTGTGTAGCTAGCTTCAGCTTCAATAATGTATGTTCAATTGTGTTGCAGCTAACCAGTGGAGAAACATGCCGGACGCTCAGTTCCTCCAGTTGTAGACCTCGTCCTGTGTGCTGTAGTTGCCAGAAGCCCTGTGTAGCTAGCTTCAGCTTCAATAATGTATGTTCAATTGTGTTGCAGCTAACCAGTGGAGAAACATGCCGGACGCTCAGTTCCTCCAGTTGTAGACCTCGTCCTGTGTGCTGTAGTTGCCAGAAGCCCTGTGTAGATAGCTTCAGCTTCAATAATGTATGTTCAATTGTGTTGCAGCTAACCAGTGGAGAAACATGCCGGATGCTCAGTTCCTCCAGTTGTAGACCTCGTCCTGTGTGCTGTAGTTGCCAGAAGCCCTGTGTAGCTAGCTTCAGCTTCAATAATGTATGTTCAATTGTGTTGCAGCTAACCAGTGGAGAAACATGCCGGACGCTCAGTTCCTCCAGTTGTAGACCTCGTCCTGTGTGCTGTAGTTGCCAGAAGCCCTGTGTAGCTAGCTTCAGCTTCAATAATGTATGTTCAATTGTGTTGCAGCTAACCAGTGGAGAAACATGCCGGACGCTCAGTTCCTTCAGTTGTAGACCTCGTGTTGTGTGCTGTAGCTGCCAGAAACCCTGTGTAGATAGCTTCACCTTGTATATGTACAGACGTTACTCCGCCACCGCTGACTAGTTGTTGACGAATATTTATTAAAATATACGAAGTACTTGTGTTCAATTTTTATACCTAAATGTTTGTCTTTGTAAACCGTACTAGAAAAAGAGATTGTACCGTTTATAACTAACAATAAAAAGCTAGAATACCTGAAGTACTGTCACCAGCTTAATACTGGTTTGGAAAATAAAAATCCTTTAAATGCCAAGTAACTTAAAATTCCCTCTTAAATTCTGGGATTGTGAAGAGTCGTCATAATCTCACTTGCATACGAATATGAACAATTTAAATAAACAAACAGTTTGTTTAATAATAATTACTAGAGGTCGTCCAGTGGTCGAAAACTCGACTAAAAATATTTTATGTACAGACTTATATATTTTCATTCCATGCTGTAAATAAAAATATGTTTCCTTATATTATGTAACCTTCGTTAAAAACCCAAATCTCAATTAAATATTAATGGTTATTTTAGTAGTACCTTTCTATTTAAGTTCAAAATACACGTACAATTTGTTTTTTGCCGTAGAACACTTTTATCGGAAAAAGACCTCCTATATATATCTTTCAAATGCTTTTACATGATTGGCAGGCACCAGGTGTGTGTAGAAGCTGTTTTGTGACTGGGACCGACTATATTGATGTAGTCAATCATAATACATTTTACATAATATGTTTTTATATTTTTACATCGGAGGAATATTCTGTTTACTGATAATTTACACTGTAATCTATATTGTTGTTCAATAACGGTTGAGGATTGGACGAGATAGTAGAGTGATTCTTTTACATTTTATTATACATTGTTTTCATCCCAACAACAATGGAAACCTAACGATAAATAATACTTATGTATAATGTATATAATGTTATAAGGTTTTAACTGGTATACAAATAAGCAATGTTATGAAAGTTATATAATGTCAAAAATACGTTTCAAATTTAAATATCCTATCTGTCGTATTGTATATGAAATCTTATTGAATTGAAAACAATATTTGAACAATTGTTTCCCTTATCTTGCATAAAAGCTAATCGGATAACTCGTTTGGACGCCGATTGTTTGAACTTCACAATGGAGAATGTGGTATGGATGATAGTTATTGTTTGTATGGATTGCAGTGATCCTGTATGTCTGATAACAAATCCAACAGCTGCGAGAGATAAATGGATTGATCGAAATACTTTTTAAATGTTGAAACTGTAAAACATTATTGGTGATCCTTATAAGTCTTCTATATATATTTTCATTCCATGCTGTAAATAAAAGTTAGCATAGTTAGCGAGTTAGCGTAGCGAACGAGCTAACCTGAAGGCAAGTGAGCGCAGCGAACGAGCTCCAACGTAAAGGTGAGTGAGCGTAGCGAACGAACTTCAACCAGGACGTGATTGAGCCATGCGAATACTTATGAAGTTAAACGGGGCAAAGCCCGAGGGTACAGCTAGTATATATATATATATGGATGTGTGTGACATATTATTTTCCATATTAATACCATCAAATATTAAACTGAATAAACAGTTTGGTGTCAATTATTTGCACTCAATTGCAGTATAAGGTCTGATTGCAAAGACTGTAAGGACTAAATATTTTTTTCATGACTCCGTAAAGAATGTAAGTATCTTCGTTAACACCTCCAATGAATGAATCTGGTGACATATCTTTCTGCATCATTACTGGTAAATTAAAATTATTTATAACAAATAGAGTTTCATTGTAAATTATTGTATTTAGCCGCAAGGCAAACTTACTGTCTTAGTATGTGAACTCAGCTTTAATTTTTTATTTTATTTATTATTATTTATATTTATTTATATTTTTTTATGGACTGATGGATCACATTTTCTGCACACTAGAATCCTTTAAACCTTACCTTGAAACGCATATACAGAGTGAGTCGCTACGGAATGCTTAAATTTTAACAACTTATTCTACTCATCAAAAGGAACAAAAAAATGACCATTAACCCTGGTCTGACTCTTGCCGTTTAGCTTTTATAGGGTAATTTGTGATTTTTTTTAAATAACACGACTTTTTACTGTTAATTTGATGGTAGTAACCAAACCCACGTATGAAAAACATAAAAACTGGTATAAGTTGAAAGAGTTAATTAAATTAATTACCGTTAATTATTGTTAATTAAATACAAATTAAAAACAATGCCTAAGTAACCACTTTTTATACATTTATCTGAAAATAGCATTAAATGTAAAATTAATTTTATCAACATTTAATTTTAAAGTTTATAGCTAAAGAAAATAGATTAAATGTGTAAATTCCAATAATTAGTTAAATGAAAAACTGCTTTGTTTATATATCTTTAAAATGACATATAATTATCAGGAGGTTGTGTGGGGAAAAATCCAGTTATTCCTTAAAAACCTGGTAAGGGAACATCATTGGGGTTTTTGGCCTTATTTCTGACCAAACTTACACCAAACCTATAATTATTATCTGTATGCCTGTAATTTTATCAGATAAATCAGCTAATTGGACGTTAAAACTGTTTTATCAAGGTTTTTTTATTTTGTTATGATCAGCTGATGATTCGATTGTTAATGTATTGTGCTTGTTTATTTGCTTTATTTTCATTCTGTGCACTTATTAACTGATACAGTTAATAACGTAAATTTTTAGTTACCATGTTTTTTAGTAATTAATAATCCTTATATATAATTCTGTAAGACAAACTTTTTACCAGAACATTGTGGACGTCTGGTAAGTCGCAGAAAGGTGGGAGGGGTCTTAAATTAAAGGTCTTGACCACAGGAACTCGGGGAAAATAGCAGAATTCCCATAAAGTTACCAGAAATCGAGATATAACTAAAATATCAACCATAAGAAAAGCATAGGACTGAAAACGTCTGCATTCTAAACAGCTGTTGCTTATTTATTTCTAATGTTTACATTTATTCCGAAAGTCAATGTTGTTAAATAATGTTTCAAAATGAAATGTATTCGTTTAATTTTTTGGTTGTCCGTTTTTATAATGAGTGAAGTAACTAGACAGGGTAGGGGAAGCTAGAGGAGGGAAGCTAGGGACTAGAGTCGTGGTTAGGCGTTCAGCTCGTATACTCGAGAAACATAAAGTTTTAATTCCCTGAGGAAGCGGGACGTTGTTTTGGTCCCGCGAAACGTCGGAGAAAATCCAAGGACGATTTTTTATGTGTGTGTATGTGTGTGTGTATGTGTGTCTTCGTGTATTACATTTTGACGAGTCCTGGATTAATAAATAAGGTGAGTGAAGCCCACAAGCTGATCAATACAGTATTATAAACCTCGCCTAAAAACATGTCTTTCAAAAATAGGGTAGGGGAAGACCTGCAAGACGTGGAAGAGTATCCAGGAATTCAACTAACACAAGAAATGCTGAAAGAGAACGTCATAAGGCCTAAATATGAAAATACACAAGCTGGTTTACAACCTGCCTTCAGAAAAACGCTGGAAAAGGAGTTGAGTTTGTTTTTCACAATCTATTAGGTCCTCTTAGCACATGCATGCATTGTGGCGCATTTCACTTCGCAGAGGAGGCCACAAATGGGCATTTATGTTGCCACTATGGACTATTTAACATGCTACAACCACAATTAAATTACGAACTAAAAGTCATGTTTTACATGATTTTAACTTCATTAAAAGTATGAGGCATTACAACAGTGCAATGGCTTTTGCGTCGCTTTCCGCTACACAAAAAGAGATTCCAGGGAAATGGGCCTTCCTGTTTTAAAATTCAGGGACAAATTCATAGATATATTTTTCTGACTTAGGTACTACCGCGAAATGGGGAGTTACCTTCATATGGACAATTGTGCCTAAATTAGGGGCAATGGCCCCTACAGACCACTAGTATGTTGATATTTTTGCGGTTTACGGGTTTTGTGATTATAATGCAGCAGAGAGCCGTCGTGAATACAGTCGCCGGTATCCAAACAGAAGGCTCCCGAATGTAAGAACCTTTGCTAACGTTCATGGCTGTTTGCGTGAAAGTGGGAGATTTCCTATCAATAATCGTTAAGATGGAACGTTATGCAAGATGTAAGAGTTAATAAAGCTATTATTGATCACTTTGCAAGAGACCCAAGAACAAGTACAAGAGCAGTCTCTCGTGTGTTTGGGGGTTCCCAATCATATGTAAGTAGGCTATTACGTAAGGAAAAGCTTCAGCATCCTTACCATTTTATTCGAGTGCAGGCCCTAAAACCTAGAGATTCTCCTTTAAGAAATCAATTCTGCCATCGGATTCTTCGATTATGTGGATTGGAAGAGGGGGAGCAATTCCTTGCCCCCGCGGTCTCCAGACCTCACACCCCTTGACTACTAGTTAGGGGGTACGTAAAGCAGAAAGTGTTCTCTACTCCGGTTCAAAATGTTGTAGATTTATGAGGTAGGATTTTAACAGCATGAAGTAATGAACTGAATCCGAAAGCTACTATCAGAGAGTTCAAGAAAAGACTTTAAATGTGTGGTGAATGGTGGACATTTGGAAATTCTTCTGCAATGACAGGGATAGCTATATACAGGGTGTCACAAAAAAGTGTGATGGGCTATACAGGACCTAATTCTACATGCAAAAATAAGTCAAAAATGAAGAATAATTTTTTTTGGATTTCGGCTTAGTTTAGCCGTAATCCGCCATTTTGTTTTTTGGGGAAAATATTTATTATTTCAAAATCCCTTTGAGATATTTTTACGAAACTTGGCAAAATTGTTTACACTATAGTAAGTAACATTTATAAATAAAATTATTGTTTTAACTTTCCAAATTTAAAAATGGCGGCCGTTTGAATTTTGTAATGCCAAATTTCATGAAAACCGGTACCCAAATCAAAATTTTTTAACACACAAAAGTTTTAGTATGTATTATGACAAATCCAACAAAACAAAAATGAATAAAATCGGTTCATAAATAAAGAAGCTAAAATAAAAGGAAAGTTGAAATAATAATTTTTTTTAATGTTACTTACTATAGTGTTAACAATTTTGCCAAGTTTCGTAAAAATATCTCAAAGGGATTTTGAAATAATAAATATTTTCCCCAAAAAACAAAATGGCGGATTACGGCTAAACTAAGCCGAAATCCAAAAAAAATTTTTCTTCATTTTTGACTTATTTTTGCATGTAGAATTAGGTCCTGTATAGCTCATCACACTTTTTTGTGACACCCTGTATATATACAGGGTGTCCATAAAAAACGTTTCAGGACTTTGGGAAATTAATCCCTATACTAAAAGGAAGGAAAAAGTTTATGGGAAGGTATGTCCGAAAATGCATATTAACCCAG